TAAATAAATAATAATAATAAAAATGATAATGACTGGAAACGAGATTGCAACAGTTTAGGTTAGTACTGAAAATCAAAAAAAGTTCAAGGCTGTGCCAGATCGCCCAATGTGCAGTGCACGACAGCATTTTGCAACTATTTTGAAAAGTGAGTCTACTTACGTTTGTGTAGCCTGCGTGCAGCCAGACTTTCTCTCGTACTAGTCAGTTAGGTCGGCTGCACGCAGGCTAATGTTTGTGGCTCGCTAAAAAGACGTTTCAGTTTCCAGTAAAAAAAAAAAAAAAGAAAAAGAAAAAGAAAACAAAAACGAATATATTTTCCTTGAAATGGATATTTCAGTATCGAAGGAAAAAAAAAAAACAAAAATATTTATTTGACAAAACTTCAGCTTTCGAAACGTCTTTTTAGATCAGTCTTATAAATAGCTTGTGACTTGCGAGGTTTCAATTCAAACTTTTGAGTTAGGCTTTACGCTTTATTAAGCAGCATGTCCGTTAATGGAACTGATGTAACGTGGGCAAGCACTCGTCAAGTAAAACAATACACTTTTAAAAAAGACACAAAGCAACACAAAAGCCGTGTATAATTATATCCAGCGCAAAACGGTATCTTTATCAACTGTTTATTGTTTTTCTTTCACACATTGATAAAACCATGTCAAGTCATTCAAGTTTGGGACCATTTATCCAGCTAATGAACTTAAATTTACCCGAGTGTCTGTTCAGGAAATGTAACTGTCATATCATCCGCCATCGTCGTCTTTACGGAAGTCTTTTCAACGACCCTCCCTGTTTAGCGAAACTGAGGAGGATCCATTTATCAGTTAATCCTTCTAATTTGTATGCAGAAATAAAGTTGATTTAAGGATGATCCGACAAAGTATTCCTTTTTTTGAAGTGAATGGTGTTTACCAAGTATTTCTTTGTTAACTAAGTGCCAAAATTAAAAGGCATTTGACTAATTATTCTCCTGGATGCTGATTTGTCGAAGCGCCAAACGCTCGGTCAACACTTCTTGATCCTTTCAAAACATATCATGGAAGTTTGACAAGAGAAGTGGAGCGTGCTCCGCCCTAAGTTATCACTCCACGACTCTGACAAGTCGTTTCCCTTTGTTCGGGATTAATTGATTTTCTGTCCAATCAGAGAAGAGTCTTTTGATTTCCTTGGGTCAGTCTTGGCATTCTCACACATCGATTGATAACTGACTGTTTTTACGCATGAGATCAAGATGCAACACGTTCAGGTGAACTTGATGTGACTCAACCCGTGCTCATCTTACAGCAACATGGATGCTTACGATAATGTTTCGCCCATCAAAAGCGATGGAAATACTTTTGCTTTTACAACGGAGCAGATTTCTTGCGTTTGTGACGCGTTACGGCAAGCAGGGGACGTGGATAGACTTTCAAGATTTTTGTGGTCCCTCCCCCCGAATGACCTATTGAATGGTAGCACAAGCGTTTTGAAGGCCAGAGCTTTTGTATCATTTCATCATGGCCGTTTTCGCGAGGTTTACACCATTCTTGAAGGGCACGAGTTTGACCCTAGTTCGCACGAGATGCTACAAACGCTATGGTACAAGGCTCACTACAGAGAAGCTGAGAAAATCAGAGGAAGATCCCTTGGTGCCGTGGACAAGTATCGCATCAGAAGGAAATTTCCTTTGCCTCGAACCATTTGGGACGGGGAGGAAACCGTCTACTGCTTCAAAGAAAAGTCCAGACAAATGTTAAAACAATACTATGAACAAAACAAATATCCAACACCACAGGAAAAACGAGTCATTGCCAAACAGACACAATTGACGCTGAAACAAGTCAGTAACTGGTTCAAGAACCGAAGGCAGAGAGATAGAATGCCCTCTAGCAAAAGGTGAGTCATTCGAATCATAGTTGTTAGCATTTACTTCAGAGAACTGTATATGTGAAGTTCTCGCTGTCTTTTATCTCATTTAAGTTCTTCAGAATGTTGACTTAAGTCGATTTCCTGTCCGAGTGCTGCAGTAGACTCATGAACTTTATCTGGAGTACCCACGTTATATTTCTCACAACTAGTCCTTGTGTTTATGTATTCTTTTCTTCCCTCGTGCTTCCGTCCTCAAATATAATCGTAAAGACTTATTAAACACAGCCAAACTCTATTGTGATGACAATTAGGCTTGTAAAGAAATTTTTTCTAACTGTGTGTCTTGAAATTAGTTTAAACAATTGGCTTTTAATTCTAAAGGCCGACATCCTGAACTAGTATTTCTAACAGGAATTTGTTAAATGTTAGACAAATCATGTAGCACAAACAGCCTAATTTGTGTAGTCGTAGATTGTGTTTACTTTGATGCTCTTATGTAAAATCAAGCTATGAATTAACATGTGTAACTTGTTATTTGTGTATTTTAATTCGTAGTTCCCACGTCTCTATCCGTAAGAGCATTGACTCAATGGATTCGACGGCATCACCGACATCACTGGACAGAACACTGCACCAGGATAGCCATCAAGAGATGTGCAACGCGCTAACTAAGACAGAGGAAAGCCTTTTGAGTGCTAACTGTATCTACTCGACCACGCCGCTAAACGATGTGTCATCTGTTCCAATGATTTGTAGTCGTGAAATTTCAGTTTCTAGTGACGAAACTTACTCCGACCTTCCCGAGGTGAAAAAGGAGTTATTATAGTACTAAATAGGAGGTTAAATAGTCTGTTTAAGTAACCTTATTCCATGGTTATTTTTCTTTTGGGTATCAAAGCTACTCCAAAATACATCTTGACCTTCTTTGATTCTCGAAACGTAACTCGCTATTTGGTGACAGGACGCAGAGATAGAATTTCATGCGAGGGGTCAAGACAATAACGTTTGACAAAGATACTCCAAAGATACTTCACTAAAAAGCCATTTTAATGTCATTATTAATGTCCCCAGGGAAAGGAATTAAGAAGCCATTTGGGTGTCGATGTAGTGCGTGAAATCGACAACGCATTTTTAAAAATATTGTTGATGTTAAATCGATTCATGATGTGGTTTCGTAATTAGACTCTTTGTTGATTCTAGATTAGGATACAAGTTTAAATATAGCATGTTTTTCGCACCGGATGGAAATTTGAGCCTAGTTCTGAGCTATTTCCCCGTGTAGACGGATCAAAAATAATTGTCTATTGACTTGTCGACCTCATGTTATCTAATAACTCGTTCTTAGGCTGTGTTTTCACTAGGACAATTTAAACTAGCTTAATTACGACACCGGAAATAAGGCAAAGTTAAACTACCTAGCAAGATGGTTTAAGTTGTCCTACCAAATAAATGGGCCAATCACAGTGTTATTCTTGAAAGGTGGGAGTCGGATTAAAACACCTCCAGGAATTTTACGCAAGTTAACATTTCTAGTGAAAACACAGCCTTAATCGCGCAACTGCAGAATGTAGTGGGGAGGGATGGAAACAATCGCTTTTATTTTGAAACAACACATCGATCTGCACAAATYTAAGTAATGCCAAGACAAATTTGAATCAGCATTTTTAGCAATTTTGATTTTTTAAAGAAAAAATGTCAATAAAATATTTTATGAATTATAATTCATAGACTATTTTTTGTTGTAATTGTTTTTAGTTTAATATCTTTTCATGGGTTTGTGTACTGGTTGACTTCTGTAGAGTTTCTAATCATAGTTAATAGTAATCATAATAATATTAACTATGTTCTAATCAAGAAGAACATTGGTCACTTTATTTTTGAAGCCCCCCCCCCCCTCCCTTCCCATTGGAAAAAATTGCCCATACATTTGGAATATTTGCTCTTTTCGGTCTTTTTCCTCTCTTTCCATAGCAAAAGGTTGTTCTTAAAAGTAACGTTATATAGCACAAGTAATCTGCGTGACACAACATCCTAAATGACCCTGTAAATCTTCTGTTCTTCGCGAACTACTGTAGTTAGCGTGTTTTCGAGGCTACGAAACCTAAGAAAACATAAGAGGCCAATGTATAGGCCAACAGATAGTATGAGCTTATAAAATCAGCAAAAATACGGTTCTAAATTTCAACAAATTCCTATACCAAAATGTTAAGGAAAGCCCGGGGTTTTCAAATCCACTTCTGTTTTTTGACAGGTTCATTCMTTCAAGGTTCATTCATTTCAAGGAGAGACGATTTTCTAGCTTGATCCCGGTTATTTCATGCATTTTCTCTTTAAAATACATCCAAATAGCATACATTTAACTCAAAAAGTAAGGTGGTTTTTTTCAATAGAATTCAATCTAAACCATATAATACAGTCCGTGAATAGCTGAATTAACTGAATCCACTTCTGTTTTTTTGTCTAGATAGTAATTATTTTGAGAAAAGATCCAAAAACCGTGTTTTTGAGACATAATTTGTATGGGCTCACATGAGGGGGCGTGAGCTTGAGATCGTAGCTGACCAAATGCAGAGTTGGCAGATTTTTTCTTATGCGAAGTCATTTAGCGGTGCTTATAATGCCAAAAAGACCTCAAAATGCATGACTTCGGACGGCGATAAAAGCATCGTATATCGATAAGTTAACTTTTTTCATTTTTCTAGCAATTTCACATATTTTTCAAAAATTCTTATATTTGAGCTTCAAGTACACTGCTTGGGTTGCCTGTGGTTGGCCTTCGTATACTTTCCTTCAACATCCTGTTTTATCACTACTTTACAATAGTAGACTGGCTAACTATTTTAAGTTCTTCGTAATAATCAAAACATTAAACACGACCTTCCTGYTTATCTTTCAGTACAACCGTGAGGAAAATACGGCCTGAGGAAAAGCACGTCCGCTTCAAAGAAAAACAAACAAATTAAGATCTACCGCTCACAGAATTAAAAAACATGAGTCAAACTAGTCGATTGCACGTTACATCATCGCGGCCTTTCGGGGGAACGTGCGTCAATTGTTAACGTCACATCAATGCGTGGCCGCCATGCTTTTGTCTTTTAACTCATTTGGAATGGTTGCAACCCATCAATCATCTGTTGATACAGAGTTTCTTCGTTTCTCGTGGTATTTAACTCGTTCCCAGGGCCCACTCTCCAAGAAAAGAAGTGGGCTCTGGGGACATGTCCTCTTTAGACTCTTTAAATTAAATAGCCTTGGGCATAATGTTTTCCTATTACGACCCCGACATGCTCCTGTGCTCAGTTTTTTTGGGACGTGCAAGCGTTTGGAGAGAGCACAGTACTGAATGCAAATCGTGTGGACTCTCGAATAGCGATCAGCCATAAAAATGCTCCATGCAACCTGTGTAGCAACGCCGTTGCAAGACAAGTTGCATAGATTATTGCTCCGTGTAATCGCGCCTTTACTCATGGGGCAGTCATGCTTATGTTATTCTCAAGCGGCTTGAATGCGAGCGGCTACGTGTGGGGAATGTTCCAGTCACGTGACTGCCGCGCATGAGTAACAGGCCATTGTGAAAACCAGCTTTACAACTGAGATCATTTTCATTTGTTTCCCAGAATATATATCGCAAAAACTACTCCAAWAGCAAATAAAGCTTCGTTCTCAAAACTAGCGGTGGCGAACTTATCACATTCAGGGATCCAAGTGCATTGACTAGCCACTGCTATGCCTTGATCGCGGACTGCACCGATATAAACATTCGAAATAATCTTCCAGTTGTCTCCACAGGTCTCGTAGACTTTGGCGCGAATGAGATCAGAAAGCATACTGCCTAACCGACTGCAAAGATTATGATCATAACTCTCAAACTGTTCCAGATATGATTTTAATAAATCTTGGATTATAGAGCAAAACTCGTCGTCTTGGACCTTGTTCGCGCAAGTCAATCTTTGGCTGTCGTTTGTGTTTCTTGGACTAGTATCGAAGTTTTTTTCGTGGATGGTACCGAGGTATTCGACACGGTTTTTGGTGAGTTTGCTGTCGTACGGCCACGACTGAGTTCGTCCTCGGCTCATTTTAGGACGTCGTTCGCTGAGATGTCTCAACAGTTTTCTTACGCTCATCGTATGTAAGAGTTCCTTGTACTATATGCAAACGGTGTTGAGGAATTCTTGAAAATCTTCCAGTTCCGGCTTTGCTTCAATTTGAAGAAATTCAACTTTTAAAACTGGTTTGTGCATATAAAGTTAGCCTAAAATAAAAGAATGTTCGTACATCAGGGGAAAGTTTTGTAATCTTTGATTGCCCAGTGTTCTTGTCTCTTGACTGGGCTTTAAGTCGGACTATTAACTATAAACGAGTAATGCAAATAAGAATTTGTGACTCGGTGGAAACATGGAAACATGGAAACACACTGACTGGGTATAGCCTCTGCCATATAG